CTAGAAAAAATAAACAAGAAGAAAAACCATGCATAATTTAACATTGTCTTTAAAATAAAATTATAAAAATATTCTGTACATTGCTTGACTTCATTAAATTCTGTCCATTATATCTTATTTTTTCAATGACTTAAAAATTAGAAATGCATGTTCAAACAGGAAAATGTTTTGTTAAGTATGTAATGAGAACATAGTTAAGAATTCTGGAAATTTATCAAACTGAAGTTAGTTAAAAAATATTAATAATATTCAAAACATATTTAAAATCTTTACATTTGTAAGGTATAAAAACAATGAAAATACATTGTGTGAACTAATCATCTTTTGTCTAACTCAATTACCCGTATGTGTTACTAATGGCTTATGTTACTGGTGTGAGAATCTTTGTCCTTAGCCAATTCCCATGCCACTGGGAGTTCAATTTTGACTCAACTCACCTGACTTTCTTATATGAACTGGAACCTTCAAATGTAGGAAATCAAGGATCTCTAGATTCATAGGTCAGAGTTTGTATATGGTTACCCTTGCTGCTAAGCCTATTCCTACTTTGATCTTTGGGGTTCATTCTTTGTTCCTTAAGATCAAACATCACATGAAAATACATAAATACCACTTACATAGTAAAACCATTAAAGGAAGCATACTCCTCAGCTGTGAATCCATAAATATCTTGGCAAGAGAGGTCAACATCTTGCTGAAGAAGAAGACTTACTAAACTTGTTGGTTCCTCACTGAGAGCAATCATAAGGGCTGTTCTAGAGTAAGAGATAAACAAATTTAGTCTTCTGAGTTTATCATCCTAATATAGGATTTCCATTAGGAAAATCCAAGGCAACAATGTAAAAAGTAGGGCAGATCTGTCAAAAAAGGTTTGTCGATCACAGATTAAGGAGTCTAAAAGATAAGAATCCCTAGGAAACAGCCAGCTGCATGGACTTCAGTGTCAGCTCCCTGGAAGGCTAGTGTTTGCAAGATGTCTCATAATTCCACAGAAAAGAGTGTGTCTGTGACCCTGCGTCTACTATCCCCTTTAAAACACAACATTTAATCTTCTATATAAATGTCCAATATTATTAATCAGTAATAAATCTATCAATCTGGTCTAACTGTTGAATTTTATTGACTAAAAAAAAAAACTGATTCTGAGAATCTTAAGTACTTTGCAAAAAATCATGTCATATAATCTCATCTATCTTTTCCCAATACCAAATATGTGTGTGTGTTTATAATTCTCTTAAGTAGCTGCAGTTATATACAATATTATTTAGCTTTAGTAATTATACCTTTGATTCTTATCTGAAGCATTCACATCTGCTCCTTTCTTCAGAAGAAATTTCACCATATTTTCATTATTTTCAACAATGGCAAGTAGAAGTGGGGTATATCCATCCTATAAAAATTATTTCAAAGTTATTATTTAGAACATTGTGCAAGAATTAGTGCCTTTTAGATTTCATTATATTAAAAAGTGAATGCTTATAAGAAACTTCTGAATATACACTTCAAATTTCAAAATATTTTGATACAGAACAAAATATGATTTCAAAGATCAAGAGAGTGACTTAGAGTTGAGCCATTTAAAAACTGAATTTCTATTTTAGGCTTAATTTAAATTGTGGGTAAGAACAGCCTGGAGTAATTAAGTGATGAGTACCTATCATTTGATTCACATTTCATAATGTAATATTTGAATTTCTTTAGAGCTTCACTTCAAGACTGGCATTTATTTGGGGCTATCAGACAAAATATCAGCAAACTCAAGTGCTAAGAGGCTTTTTGAAAAAATATTCATCAGTTATTCAAAATAGTTCAAAGGTGAGTTAGATTACTTTTAGTGTAGTAACACCTGTTATTCACAAGTATATGAATAAAATAGAAAAAAATGGGGTTTCAGATTTTATCAGCACTCATTTATATGGTAATCAAATAGTTTTCATTTGATATGGACCTTTGAACAATTATGATTAAATATGATATTACTTTGTTGGTCAGAGTTTCAGTCGGCAATTAAATGGAGACTTTTTAAAAAGGAAAAATGTTATCAGTTTTTAATAATATCTCCTTCTCCCCTTCTCCCCAGTCCAGTTTGGAAAATTCATTCTCTTTATAAAACATGCATTAGTATTATATGAATTATCTGAAATGAATGTTCTCTTTAGTTGCTTTCTAAAATACAAGTTTTTTCTTTAATAGAAGACTACCTTATTTTTAGCTTCCAGATTCGCTTTGTGTTCAAGTAGTTTTCTGACTAATGAGACATTTTGACCACACACAGCATAATGAAGAGCAGTATTATAATGAAAATCCACCAGATTTGGGTCTGCACCATGGCTTAGAAGAATAGTAGCACAATTCTCCTTTTGAAATTGAACCGCCTATCAATACAACAAGAATAGATGAGTAAACAATTTACTACTCAGGATATGATATATTAAATTAATGTTTAATACTATGTTTTAAAGCATGAAAATAATAGTTAACTGAAAGAACTCAAGTATATTACAACTGAAAAGGAAAAAAATTAGAGCATACCTTAATCAGTGTAGATTTGTTTTCATCATCTGGAACATTTATGCATTTTTTCTTAGTTAAGAGAGAGCTGTTATGTGTATATCCACTAGTACAGGCCAGATGTAAAGGTGTTCTATATCAATATAATGAAACATGAATTTAAATATAAGTCTCATTGGTAAAGTTTCTCATTATACCCCCCAAAAGCTAAATTTATGTTAGAATATTTGCTTCGTGTGCTTATTTATACAAAATTTACATTAATTATAATTGCTTTTTACTGGATTTAAAATTATGTGAAAATGCCTTGAAGAGCAAATATTTAATATGTTCACTAAAGGGTAAACTGAACCCCCTACTGAGTTTAGAATAGATTTCTTTCAAATGCCAAAATGGTATATGGACCTTAGAAAGATGATAAGATTGGATATCACTATAAAGTTTAGAAATGATCTCAAAACCCTCAAATATAACTAATAGGTAATAGAGAGAAGAGACATTGACTATTCAATGGCAAGCTACCCCTAATAATTGTATGTTCCTCTCTCTTTGTTCAGATATTAAAGTTGGCATCTGCATCTAAAAAAAATACAGTAAAAGCTGAAGGACTCTCTAAATTTTAGATGTAAACCTAATTTTAAATAATTATACTAATTTCTATTTCTCAAAGAACCCTACTGTAAATAGTCTACCAGAAACCAAGCACATATCTGTGAATTATGAA